CGTGTACGGTACAGCAGGACCGGCCCTGCGAGCCGCCGACATGAAAAAGACGTGCGGATCCTCCTGGTGGGAGAACGTGAGTCCGCGCGCCGGGGCTGCCCCTGGCCACTGCAGCTCCTGCCCCTACCGCCCCGCTGTCCTCCCTCCGCATCCCCAGGCCTCCCAGGCCTCCCAGCCCCTTTGCTCTTCTCTTTCGGCTGCCCTCGACCTCTCAACCTCCTCTGGGCCCTCCTGAGACCTCCCTCCCCTCTCTCCCATCCTCTTCCCCAGCCGTGTCTCCACTAACCTCTGACCGCCCGGCCTCATCCCTCTGAAGATCCTCTGCTCCTTTTCTTCTTAGAATCCTTTCCTCCCGGGCCTCCGCGTTTCCGAGGCCGCCTCCTTTCAGACCCTGCCGTCTTCCGTGGAGATTCCCTTGTCACTGCCAGGCAGGTGCTGAAACAGGCTGACTGACCAATTGGGATGGCGTGAAGTGGCTCCCGGGGAAGCTAGGGGGAGGGGTGCAGAACCATTTGACTTGTGGGCAAGGTCAGGTGTCTGCTTGTTTTTGCGCTCGCGGTCTTCCCTCCCTCTAGGCATTGACTGTAAGGTGTGGAGCGATGTGGTTTTTAGTGATGCTTGCTCTTTGCATCGCAGTTAACTCCTGGTACACTTGACATTTCCTCAAAAATAAACTCTCAACTTCAAGTTATACAAGTGCTCAGTGAATGAATAATTATCTGGGGAGGGGCCTTTGCTTGAGAGAATTATTGCTGCCCTAAAGCGTAATTTCCCCCATCTTTTAAAGCATTATTCCATAACTACTTGGTAATTAATTTAAAAATAACAGCAGGCACACGTGCGACCCAGACAGACACAACATATACATGTGAGATTCCCCCCTCTCCTCTCCAGATTCTTAGATTTCACTTTTTGAAGATGTAATAAAGGAGAAACGTCTTCTCTTCACTGACTTGGGGACGGTACAGCAGGGATATCTTGGTATCATTGTGCAAGTTACATGACTCAGTTGGTAGGATTAAAATAAGAGGGCTGGAGAGGATTGGATTGTTTGTTTTAATTCTCTGCCATTGCTGTTTTGAAGCTTCCTATTCTAAAGCCCATTGCATTCTAGATTAGCCCCTCCAGGTCCCTATAGTACACTCTCAAGGAAGAAAGCTAACACATTATTACCCTCTTCTGCAGTGTTCTTTGATATTTCTGTGCACTTGCTGTTGTAGAAATATTTCCTTTAGAATCAGAATTTAGATGTAAGCTTAGCCAGTCACAGTTTACTTTTTGGTTTGCTAGTTGCGAATTTTAGTTTCAATCTATAATTACATGTATGTCTCAATCTGTGTTTTGCATGGGCTTTCTTGACGAAGTTTAGGAAGATTATTCATGTTGATGCAGTGGGAGCAAGGTAGGGGATATGAGTAGATGACCGGCTTAAAAAAAAAAATCCTTAACGGTATCATAAAATAGTTTTGTAGTATAGTTACTTTTATAGTAAATTTTTAAGATCAAAAATTTTATGTTTTAGTTTTAGATTTGAACATAGGGAGTAGTTATACATAATCATTAGTCTGTAAAACATCTAAATTGAAATGCTATACATATGTATGATATATTTGTCAGCCTTAGGACATTTAAAATTAAATGTTAACAGTATTACTTGTTGAGAAATACACAAAAGACTTAAAAATTTGTTGGAAAAATTATAAGTCATATTTTGCATAAATGAAAGCGGCTAACAGAATTGATAAGTGTTTGTGAGTTTTTTGATAGGTAGAAACAGCACAAGAGAAAATGTTAGTTTTTGAGGAAGCCATTTTTCTTGAAGAGGGTGATACCAGAAACTTTAGGCCAACTACCATACACACTTTTTTTCACATTTAAAAATATTAAAAAGAGTTACACTTATTTGAAATATATTATTTTAAAATTATTTCACTTATTTATTATTGTGTTATTTAATTATTTTAGTTTGGTGGGGGTGAAGTAATTAGGTTCGTTTATTTTTAGAGGAGGTACTGGGGATTGAACCCAGGACCTCATGGATGCTAAACATGTGCTGTACCACTTGAGCTATATCTCCTCCCCGAAATGCATAATTTTAATTACTTACAGTAAAGGCTGGTCTTCTGGGGGAGAATGTTTGAAGCATTATTTTTTGAGATTTAGTGTAAATATCTGACAGCTGCTTAGCCTAGCAGTAGTGTTTGAAATGGTAGGTAAACATAGTGGGACCAAGATTATTTTAATACTGGTCTATCAGATGAAGACCAGTTGAAGATGACTAACTAAGGGAAATGGGAAAAGCAAAGAAAAAAGAGCATCACCTCTGGTATTGTTGTCAACCCTGTTCCTTCTCTGCCCTTCATTCAGTACATTTTATTGCTGTTAGTGTCTGCTCTGAATAACACGGCAGTGGCTTCATTCACTGAAGCTCCCAAATAGTTGTGAGTGGTTTCCACATTCTCTGGATACACCTGTACTCTGGAGGTGAAGTGGATCTTTCGTTGGCCCATCCAGAATTTGGTTCTGAGCCATCCAGGCTTTAATGCTGACTAGTTGCTTAAACATCTGTTGACTGCTTAGATCAGAAATTTTTAAGGTATTTATTTACAGAGAAAGCCTTATTTTAATTATTGTACATACTGAATACCATTCAGGGCAAATTAAAAGTCAATTACCAGTCTTTGAACAAAACAAAAATTTAAGAATCTTAAAAAAATGCAACCACATGAAACTTAGTTCTTTAGGTTATAAACTTTTCATGGTCAATTTTGTTGGCCAGAGTTTGTATTTTAACTAGATTTGCATTAGTATGCTTTAAAATGTCCTTGTTATAAAAAAATTAGCATGAGCTTTATTACCCTTTTATCTAAATCATGTAGCTACATTGAAAGTACACAGGATAGTTTTAGTGAAGTCTTGTTTTTAAATTAAATTGAGATATATTTGTCTTCTGGTCAAATTCATTAAGAAAGTAGAACTATTATCTTCCTTTACAATGAATCCTGTAGCTCTTAGCCGATTTGTCTAACTGCTTAATCATTGACACCTCTGCCAAGCTAGTTCAAGCTTTGGTTGGCCCTGGCCTAGACTTTTGTAATATCTCCTTTGCTGGTGTCCCTGCTTCTAATTTCGTCCATTCTCCATGTAGCAGACAAAGTCATCTTTAAAAAATATCCCAGATCCTGTTACCCATTTTTAAAATTCTCTGGTGATTTCTGCATGCACTTAGAATAAAGGCCAAACTGTTTAATGCAGGCCTCCAAAGTCCTTCACAACCTGGCCCTCGCTTCACTCTTTACTGCTCTCTCCTTCACTGTTTTCTCTATGAGAAGGCCCTGACCCAGGCATTATCCCTACTCTCCTGCGTATTTGTTCACTTGTTTGTGGGGTTTTTTGTTTTGTTTTTTGTCTGTTGCTTGGGCTAGAAAGTAAGCTTCATGAGGACCGGGGATTTATCTTGTTTATTGCCAAATCCCCAGGGCCTAGAATAGGCCTGGCACAAAGTAGGCGCTCAGATAGTTGTTGAAAAAATAAGTTCAAGCTAGTTTAGTTTATTTAGACTTTCCTGTGTTCTGGCAGTAAAGTAGGCCAGTGAATTATAATGGCAATGTCATGTCTGTTTCATGTCTGGCAGCCAGGAATTACAGTCCTTGCCAAAAGAGGTCAGCTTCTCCTTGAAACACCAGAGGCCATTTGAGAAGTTTGAAGGAGTGAGGGAAAGATTCTCTGGGTGTAAGCCAGGTCAAAGGGTCACAGAGACCTCAGGAATAGGGTAGTGTTTATTTTAGAGAAAAACTTTCGTGGTCCTTTTAGACCCATACTGTTCTCCATTCTGGTCTTTGTTAGAATGGCATATGAAGATTGAGCTGCTCCAGTTTCAGTTACACTGTGTTGAGTACCTGGGGGATAGGTGCTCAACGCGGTGTGGTACCTGTTATCACCTGGGTGATTGGCCGCAAAGGCCCATTCTGCACAGTCTGTTCTGTTCATACAGAGTCTCTTCTACGTCATCCCTGCATATGTGCTGAGACTTGGCCTCTCCTGTCTTGTTTGCTCCTCTGGCACGGTTGGGCACTAGTGTTGGTATAGTCTGAAGGAGAGGGGTAGTCCATAGCATTTGTCCTTCTGCAGTCCGCATTGTCTGCATATGGTCGATGAAATTTTCCTTTGGAACCATGCTCAGCCGTTTCCCCCAATGCTGAAGTTTTCCAGTTAAAAATATAACTTCATGGTCACTCTCCTCCTCCCTGTGCATTCTACTTAGACTAACTTAGGAAGAGCCAACAGGGCTTCTTAATAAAGAAGCAGATAAAAATGAGGAGTAGGTCCCTTTGCCGCTTGAAGCACAGGCTGTTTGTTATCAAGAAAAATAGCCAATATGGCTGGTAGGGTGGTAATTGGAACCAGAGAATGTTATTTCCACTTCATGAATATGAGGAATTTGCTGTCATTTAGAAGTAGATGTTCAAAAGATGTGATGAAAAGACAAAGAAATTTTTAGGCTGGATACATCTTGATAATTTGTTCTATAGTGATGAATTCTGTTCCCCATGGATGACCTACTTAGAAGCATGGAGTTTCAGACAGAACTGAACCATGTTGTGTTGAACTGAATCAGGTGGCCTTGTGTCCTCGGGGATAATTGTGGCCATGCTTTTTGTTTTTGTGAATCAATTCAGTATTTTTCAGGCAGAATGGAGGAAGTGGAGACCATCAGATGGCTAGCTAACGAAGGATAATTTTTTTGTCCTTTGTTAGGACATTTAATTTATGTTTATATTAAAATATGAAAGTGAATATATGTGTGTATATGCATGACTGGGACATTGTGCTGTACACCAGAGATTGTACTTCAATTAGAAAAAAATAATATGTATATTTATATTAATACTTATGTTTATTGTTATAAAGTCATACTATATAAAGTATACTATGCATTATATTTATATTAAATATAAAATTTAATTGGTACGATAATTAGAGAAGAGCTTGGGATATTGTTCCTTTATGGAGATAATTTTTATTTTCTGGAGCAGTTATAAATATGTAGTATTTATATTCTTATCTGCCATTGTT